TTTTTTTTTTTTTTTTTTTTTTTTGGTAACAACAATACGAACAGTTAACGTTTTCGTTGATAGTTGAAGGGGAATTGCTGAGAGTAGCGGCTGAAATAGCCGATACCGACAAAAACAAAAAAAAAAACAGCCATGGATATTTGGTTAAAGGAGGGGAAAAATTACTGTGTAAGGACGTGAGGGGGGGGAAGGGGGGTTAATGAGGATTTTACGTACCCTGTCTACCTGCTATTACGTTTTAAGTTCGAAACTAAGTTAAACCGTTTACGTATCTTTCGCTAATTACTAAACATGCACGTAAAACTACTAACCGGGACGATGATATCAACATATTTGCAATAATTTATTGTCGTTCAAGAGCTTTTACGAAGAAACTGAACTGAGAAAATTTATTACCATTAGAGATATTTTGAACTGCATTTTTTTTGTCGTCCATATTTAGACATTTTGAAGCATGTTTAAAAGAGTACAGGAAACTGTAGTTCTGCTCAAAACAACCTTTGCCATATACTTAGCACATAAAAGTGGGCAATTAAAATTGAAAAATTAAAAAAAAAAACTAGTTAAATTTTTTTTTTTGATAAACATCTAAATATACTTAAATCATATTATCCGAGTTTTTGTTTCTGACTACCAATTATTTAATTTAATGAAGTCGTTAATAAGGAATCAAAAATGGATCAAAAATTTCAGTTTTTGTATTGTCTCCTCTCTTTACCAATGCTATAAATCCAATATTACTCTCAAAACTTCAATTCTTTTTGAACCTAACTCAATTTTACTTGGGTGATAATCTAGAAAACTATACGCATTAACTTCAACATTAAGCACTAATTTAGTTAACGTGTCAATGGATTAACTCGATATGGCAAATTAAGGATATAGAAGTTGAGATCTGCAACATGACACGCTATATAAGAACGAAGTGTTTATTGGCAACAATTTTTAAGATTATTTGAAGCGATCTTGAATGAACAACTATGCATTTACCACATTGAATGCTGACATATAGTTTCTTCTGATTGATAAAGAAAACGTATCTGCCAATATCAAAGTACATTAAATTTTTTTTTTTGCTAAATTGAAAAACCATAAACTTTACGTACGAGCAGGCAGTTGTTTATTGTTGGTGAATAACACGGAAGGAAGTAGAAATTTGTACCAATGATTCTTCCCTAGCACCGATATTAGAAACGTTGTTAAAAGAGTACAAATCAGAGTCGTTGCTAAAAGTAAATAAGCATCCTTGCTTTCCACGTCGTTCCTGTTCTTAATTCCATTATTTGACCCTGGTTTGCTTCAGTGCCCATTTGCAGCTACTTAATAATGTTGAAGCTGTTAACTATAAATAGAAATGGAACAGCAGTGAAACAGAATTATTCAATAGCATACAAATTGATTTCAAAGAAGCCAATACGTGTGAAAGCATTCAATCTTTGTTACTTTTTTTTTACACAGAAAAATTTTCCAGTCTGATCGCAACTGAAAACGAATGATTGTTTCAGTATAATTGAATATTGGTCGAAATTCTACTGTTCTCAAATGCCATCACACTATAGAATAACAATTAAGAATGGCAAAAGAATAAAATGAAACTGCAATAGTTGTTGTCCTTTTTTTTTTACCAATCCAAGCCTTATGATGCATTATTTTAGGATTAAAGTTGAACGAAATTCCTTTTCACCTGAAGTTGGTATACCTTTCCTCAATTGCCCTTTTTTAAATTTTCTTGGTCTTGACAGATCAATGCACACATTAAAACTGACTTTAAATATGACAGTGATTCTGTACCTACAGTCATCTCTGTCATCCCGATCAAAGTTGTGAAGCTAAATAAAGAATAAGCCTTTTTCTACAAAATCATTATTCAGATTAGCTTTTCATTTTTTTCTTCCATTTGTTCTCCATTAGCTTTAAAAGATGTAATTGCTGTACACATAGTCGAGATCAAACGAGATATTGGCCAGAAGAAAATAAAATGAAGCATTTAAAGAAAGTAACGATGGTTAGTCTCTGTATCAGAGTGGGGTTGTAAATGAAACCTTCCCAGTGAGACGAGTATATATATATTTGTTTTCCAAAGAAAAATTTTGATCGTTTGTGGCACCAATTATAAGTTTAAGGTATACTTTTGATTATCAACTCATATATTTACTTATTTTTTATTTTTCTTTTCTGCTAGAAACTGTTGATACATCTTTATATGTTTTGACTAAACTGACTAGTGCATCAACTGATGCTTGATTATTAATTTAGGCCATTGACAGCGATAGAAAATATTTACAATTCACACTATGTTGCCACTATTATTGCAGAGAATCTCCTGTTTCTGCTTCTTCTCTTTTGCTTCAATTGTCAAAACACTGTTCTAATGGCAAAGAAAAAAGACTAAAACTGTACCATACTACTTGGTACTGGTTGTTATCAATGAGTTTTTTGTTTAACTTTGGAGAATAAATCTTTGAAAAAATTCTTATAACAGTTAAAATTATTAGATGATTACTGAAGTTTTAAATCTGACGCTTATTAATGAACTTTACTTGGATATTTTTCAGTACTCACAGTCTTTTGTTTAATTCTTTGAAATATTTCGTAGTTAAATCAACTCGTTCATTATTCACTTATGCTACTTTTCGCACTTAAATATTTTTTTTCTCTTCTCTTTTTAGTTTCAATATCAATTGAAACAATTTTTTTTACTTTTTTACTTTCTTTTATACCTTCTACAACTGAAAAAAAAAGACGAGTGATTTATGGCAGTTAGCGCCTTATATAAACAAAAGTTTGTGTCAATATAGTTTATTTGTAGTTTCTATTTTCATTTCTAATATTATTTTCCTGTTGCTTCAAGAGAATAAACCAAAGGAAAAAGGAAAAAGAAACAATGAATGCCCAAGCAATAGAAGAAAAGAATTTAAAAAAAAAAAAGGAAAAAAATAATGAGCTAAAGAAAAGTGCTAGTATGAACTTGATCTTTAGCTGAAAATCAATTTATCTTTTCTTAGGATTTGCTGAGCACTGAAACGAACAAAGCAGCAACAAAAGAAACTTCAATTATTTTTATTCTGAAGCAAGTCAACATTTTACTACATCTTTTTTTTTTATTGAACAAATTTCTGTGCATTCCTTTTATTTAGCATTTTACAATGTCTAATTGAGAATATGTCATCAACTCTTGCCGGATATTT